TCTCTGCTCTCACATAGCTGTGTATATTTTCAACACCAGTCTGCTTTTACCGGTTCTCACGGTCTCTTCGCTTGCAGATTTCTTACATTTTTTCTTCTATCCTGAAGATGGTGGCGATACGTTCCTCCGAAACGTCGGTTAACACCACATATACACGGTGCCAAATCCCAAAAGACTGCTTTCTTCATAATCAGTACCTGTTTTTAAAGAGACTACAAATAAGGCAATTGAAAAATATTAAAAATTGCCTATATACCTAAAAACTTAGATAACAATGACACATTAAATTCAGCAATGAATAATACTCCTGAACTGCAAGACATTGCACAGCCATTATTCACAGCTTCGTTGAGTATGACATAAAAGAATCTGTGAACATGTTGTACTTTTACAGTTAAAATTCATACACACCGTTATATATCCTTTCCCAGATTTTACTGTATTTGTATGCCCTGAATCTTCCAACAACTTTGCAGTGTGAGTTTCACTAAAACTCTAATTTAAAAGCAGATAAAATCAGTTTCTTCAGTAATTTGACATATTTTCAAATGGTTTCCTACTGGTTATTGCAAACTGTTTCAAACAGAGCAGAAAAGTGTGAATAATGATTAATCTTTATTTCATTAAGAATTATGCAGCATCGTTTCACTTTCTTTGTACATAATATGAGCAGATAAAAAAGACCTACACACAGCTGCATACCTTTTGAAGATTGCACATAGATCCCACAGGTGCACATAGCAGTCATTCAGGGCTATTTAAAATAAATATACAAACATAAATCAGCATAAGTTTTAGTCAAGTCAAAACTTTTTCATTTTCATTTAACTAACTTACAAACTTAAACAACGAATACATATGAATGAAAAACATATTTGCAACAAAGCATAAATAGTTTAGACACATAAGCGTATTAAAAAACACCACTGCAGAACATGGTATTCCTCTTACACTATATCATACACTTTTATATTTTCATTAAATAAAATGTTCAATCCACTGTTGATTAAGTGAAATGAAAAATTACCTTAAAGCTTACATGCTATGGAAATGTTTCCACAGCAACATACATTCACATTTATCTGAAGTGCATCTGTCCTGAAATACTGAAGTACTGGTGAACTGAGCAGCTCCATGGTACTTGCCTTCACCTTACTGTTACTTGCACATAATCAACTCATTCAGGGTGGGGCACTAGATATTAAAGAACAAGTTTATGCACACTTTTTATCACATGCATGTTTTCCTTGCCAGTGATCTAACATGCATAAAAATTACAAAGTACTACTGTTCAGCTTTGTAGCAACATGCTGTAAGAACCTTGTTATAACATGGCACCAGTCCCCTGGAAATGTAGTGTTTGTTATAGAGTCATGCAGTTGGCTGCAATGACAATGTGGGGAAACAAACTGGAATGTGATGTTCAATCATACACACATTGCAATCTTTTATTTCTTAAGCCGCAGCACGGATAAAGTGAAACAAATTTCTAACAAACACATTTATAAATGGCAATTTCACAAATGTTTCCTTCAAGTATTTTTCTGAGGCCACTCTTTTGTACATACAGCAAAGGCATTATGAAGTAAGAACTTGCATGGAGAACAAAGCTAGACAATGCCTTACTGAAAAAAACTTGTTACAACAGTTTAACATAAAGACAACAAATAAACCTAAAATAAATAAGAATACAAAGTGATAGGTCTTTGGGATCATTTTAAACATGGTACTTTAAAACATTCAATAAAACAATCTCTATGATTCTGTTTGTTAGACAGAACAAAGCAGTTCAAACTATGGACCTTCAAATGTTGATATTTAAAATTCTGCTTTAATGAACTCTTTCTTCCATTACTCCAACATACACTTTGTTCCCAAATGGTACCTTGTTGTAAATGTATTCTGGGCCAATGACGTTCATTAACTACAAGCAGAAGAAATGTCACTTTTGATATCTACCTTTTTGAGAATATGGACCTGCACAACATCCAGGCAAACTCTCAGTAGCAAATTTCTTTACGAGAAAGAGCCCAGAGAGAACACAGGACATCTCACTCAGTGGAAATATAAAAACTACTAAATATACAATTTTAACGCGTTTCAAAGTAACTAAAGACTCAAAATTCGTACTATTTATAAAGCAGCAATTCATAAACTGGAGATATTAATCACCTGTGCCCCTGTTATCTCCATTCTGAGGGAGCAACACATGAAAGAAGACTTCTTCTTGCATAAACATCAAGTTTCAGCACTGAACACTACAACCATCCATTCACATGTCCTCAAATTCAATCACAATCATAGTAAAAGAGTTCCCTAAATGTTAGCATTCAGCATCTAATATACACAGAGACCAATATAAATATCTAACTTTAAATTCAAATATAAGCCAAATTAAGAAAATTGCACTGTATCAAATTCCAGAATCACTGTTGCCATTCATATTAAGCAGTTTAAAATTATTGTAATTACAATATTAGTGGCATGCAAATATGAACCTGGCACTTTAATTTTAAATCATGAAATAGGACTCCAAGACACAAGACACACTCTTTTATATAAGTATATAATTTCCCAGATGTATGCTCCTATGTTCATGTGATTTAATTTATTATGTTAATAGTCAATATCTCAGCTTCCTTATGAAAATGTCACTATTTTTATTTAATGATTGAAGACATACTGCTGGAAACACCATTATATCTTGATGGCAACAATAATCAACAAATAAGGTGAAGTCACGCATGTTACACATGGAGTGTCATGTACTTGGAATATTTTGTGGACTGTGCTAATACCAACATAGCATAATTTTCTTTTATGGTGACCACATTAAAAATTTATTTCAGCAGTTCCCTCCACCAACATTGAAATGTTATCTTAATAACGTTCAACTAAATTGCCTCCCATCCCTCCCACTCTCCTCTTTCTACAGTCTTCACTGATTCCGATAACACAATTAAGAATCAGTATATATCGAAAGAGATAAGCAATTCTGTTTCATAAGAAACATATCTCTAAGTCTTTAATTCATAATTGCCATTTTATGAACCCCATTTCATCCCTGAGTCTTCCCACTCTCGACAACTGCATGACGACAGACAGCAGTATGCAAAACCTTGCAGCATATATACATATATGATATAAGGTCTTTAAGGACAAAATTCCTCAATTATAAATGGTGGTTTACTTGTGATAATATATTATTCAGAATACCAATTTCATTACTACATATAAAAAGAATTTTCAAAAGTTCTTGCATTCTAAAGCAGATGTACAGTGAGAGACAATGACATAACTAATCTTCGTGGAGTTTCAAATGTTAAGAGTGGCCACGTGTTATGTTCCACACAATACAGTGTGTTCCGTTCAAACTTCCCACATTTTCATTAATCATTGTGAACAAATGGTGATAAATTATGGATTATAATTAACACTAGAAGAAAGAAAAACTCAAAAGAATTTTATTTCATAACTTTGAAGTTGATCTCTCTCATTACACAGTGCCACGGCCGCATGGAGCAAAATGGCAACTCCAAAGCAGAGTGCACAAACAGTAGAGTGGTATGCAGAAACAAAATCAATAATTTCAGTGCAAAGAAATTACCGACGAGAGTATGGAGGAGATGCACCTGATAAGAAAACAATTAAGGTATGGTTTGAGAAGTTTCTAAAGATAAAGTGGAAGAAATTTGAGTGGGGTTTTAGAGAAGCCCAAGGAAATCAATGCGCAATTCTACATGCTGCAAACAACAGTGCATTGAGTGCTGCATACGTGGCTTTGTTTACATCCTTACAAAGTGCAAATTGTTCAACAATTGAAGCCAGATGACAAGCCACGAAGACAGGAATTTGCTATCAAAATGGTGGATCATATCAACAGGAGTACTCAATTTCTTGGAAACATCTTGTTTTCAGATGAGGCCACATTTCATCTGTCAGGGTTTGTCAATTGGCATAATGCACAGATGTGGGGAAAGCAAAACCTGCACGTCTACAAAGAACATATCCGAGATAGCCCAAATTTAAATGTTTGGTGTGGCCTAATGAAGGACAGGATTATTGGTCCATTTTTCTTTGGTGAAGCTACGTACAGTATCTGGCCGCACATACCTTGACATGTTAGAACAGTTCCTGTATCCCCAGGTAGCTAATCTGCAGCCTAACATAATCTTCCAACAATATGGAGCCCCCCACATTGGGGTCTGAATGTTCAGAGGTCCCTCAATGCCACCTTCCAAGATCACTGGATTGGATGTGGCGGACCAATTCGGTGGCCACCACATTCACTGGACCTCACTCCACTCAATTTCTTCCTCTGGGGTTATATGAAGGACCGTTTGTTCGTGCCTCCAGTGAATGACCTCCCAGATTTATGAGCCTGCATCTGTGAAACGATTGCTACTCTACCAATGGACATGCTGGAAAGAACGTGGCAAGAAATTGAATACAGACTGGATATTGTTCGTGCTACCAATGGTGCACATGTAGAGGTTTATTAAAGTGTCAAATATTTTTTTTTAGTTCTTCTTGTATTTCCTGTAGCTTTATTTTCCTACCATTCATACTTTCTGTTCTAAGATCTTATAAAATGTGGGAGGTTTGAATGGAACATCCTGTATATTGTGATTTTTCTCCATCATGACAACAAGCAATGTGTGGAATTCATTACAAAATGCTTCACATTGCGGTACATACTTTTACCACAGACCTTAACAACTGTCAATAGGGAACTCTTCACAACCAACACTGCCCTTAGAAGAAAAATGAAAGAAGTACTAAAAAAGTACAACCAAAGTATAATGAAATAACAAATGGAACACAAAGTATGTTCAAGCATCAGTTTTATTATTCCTGGTTGCCTTAAAATTATGAAACCTTTAAAATATTTTGTATATTTCTCACATAACCATTTATGAACCATGACAACATATATGGGTTAAAAATATTTGTATTTTAGTAATATTTTTTCTTCCTATTTTTCAGAATATTACCAACTTCCAAAATCAAGCTTTGGGTAAGTTTGAAGGAAGGTTCATAACAAGTTTCTGCAAGAGTCCTAAATTTGCCACACACTTTTCAAGGCTTCTAACATGGTGCAAGTTTTTACTTCTGCAAATATTTGTTCCAATACTTCCTATTCCTCCTGGAAACATAATGTTTCTACTTATTTCTTCCTTTTGAATGATTCTACAGGGTTTCATTTATTAATCTGTTGCTACCTGACAAATGTCTGACAACCTTTTCTTGCCAATATGTGCACCTTGACAAGTTCTTGCTAATGTTTTGCTGCTGCAACCTTCATCGGTTCATGCGCAGTGACTCAGGGACAAGGAGAAGACAATCAAACATATGGTATCATGCGTGCTAGGCGCAGAATCAAGTCAAGCATGATGAACCACATATTTCGTGCTGCTTTTGATCGTAACATTAATGCTCTCCATACCAGGAGGACAGCAAGTAATTGCGTAAAGCGATGCACCCAGAACAACCTGCAAAAACAGGATACAGTAAAAGATGAAACTAGATTTCACTCATATTATACATTTATAAAAGAAAGGCACTTTCCTGTTCCTTTGTAGCATTACAGCCAGGAAATATGGTTATACTCTATTATTCTGGGGGGGGGGGGAAGGCTGCTTCAAAGTTATATATAATTTATATAATTTCTGCAGGAGAGAAAGCATTCCTAATCTAAGAATACATCAATCAGGCAGTCTCCCCATACCTGTGACATATCAAACTGGATACGTAATGACAATGTCTTAAACACATATTTTTAAGCTTAATGTGTTAACTTGTCTAATAACACAATCAGATTAGATTATTTTCATTGACATCATAAAAATCAAGGAAAAGACTCATTCCAAAGATGACATGAAATGTCATGGTGTTTCTTCTCTTTTAACACTGTACATAACACTACTTACTTCTGAAGATGTTTCCTTGCTTTTGGTAGAGAGCTCGGATGTTCTTTAAAGATAAAATGTCTTATACCAAGAACATAGCTTTCAATATATGTGGGCCAATGGATTTCTCGGACATCAAAATGAAATGTCCTCCTGTCTTCTGGGCTTAGAAGTCCATTCAGATGTCTGACATTCTCATCAGTAAATCGCCACTGCTGTACGGAGAAGTACTCCAAACACTTTGCAGCCTTATCTAACTTGTTCTGCACACGCACCATGCTGCCAAGTAACAGATTATTTCAGTTCATGCATCATATGCTTTAAAATAATTTTATTTAAATGTGTGAATGCTAATTATAGGCAATTTTTTGATGAGCAGAAATTTAAACTATACAAAAATGTTAGGGGATTGAACGTACAAGCAGTATCATATACACTCCATTTTTCCTGATTTAAGAGCATCCTTTACAAGCCTAGTCAGTGAAACTAATCATACATTACACAGGTATCCCCTATTTATAGCTGCATTCTCAAGAGTGGTCGTGTAAATTACAACTGTTGTTATTCCTTTTGTTTTGCATCATCTAATTTTCTGTGATAAGTACATACAGTGAACATTTGATTGGTGATAGTAACGGACAGGACAGACAGTGAAAATAAATAATAATAAACAACAGAAAATAAAAAAATTTGGAAATATCTGATATCCATGCTATATTCAACCCTGAAAACTACTCATTATTGTATATTCATCCTGCTTTTTTCACTAAACAGTGAGATAGATATCTTTCCAATAGTACCCAGGAACCAATAAAATAATGAAGGCAACAGAAAGAGACAGTGTAGTCTATTGTAAATGACTGTAAAACATAACTGATAAATATTACTGAAAGAGATGTAATGACCAACTCTTAGATCACTATAGAGAGCTATAATACGTGTTTCTAAAAGCCCTGCTGTTAATACGGATACAAAGATAACTGAGAATCTACTGTAATTCACATAACTTTAGTAACATTCACTATAACCATTTACAAATCATGGCATGAAAACTAATTGTTTGTGTAGCTTCAACCATACTGTGCAAAGCAGTGTGAGGAACACCACCACCTGGTTGAGATGTGATAGCCATTCAGTTTATCACTGTGGGTTTTTTTAAAATTTCATCTTCCCATCCATGTGAATTGATCAGAAAACTGTCACAGAATTCTAGCTAAACTCGGAATTACATGCCTCTGCTTCCTTTCCTCTAAGGATGGACTTCGTAATGGGATGTGAGTTTATTAAAATTAATATGAATACTTACAGCTACAAACAATACTAATTCAGCTTCAAGTTCAGGTCATTCAGTCATAAACCCTCTCCTGAATCAGAAAAATACAGTCCACACACTTATATTCCATATCACTAAGATGCTTTTCCCCTTGAGCATGTTAATACCATTAATGTCAATCGTTAAACATCAAACATATTGTCATGTGCAGGGCGGTACACGTGACTAGAATGATGGGTTCTAGTTCAGATGATTGGATTTATTAGCACTTCAGTTACACATACCCTCTTAATTACACTTAAATACAGCGCTACTGCTGAGTTACACACACTGGTCCTCTCCTGGTGCCACAATTAAAATGCAGGAATTATAACAGTCTCACTAATTACACACTCCCAATATCACTGTACTATAGCACACATAAAGTCTTCAATTTACAAGTTAACTCTTCTTCAAATACGAACTTCATGTGGCTGTCACCTACCGAGAAGTCAGAATTCAGTCACTTAACTTGTTCCAATTCGCTCACTTCTGTGCATCCGCTGCTAATACTTCTATTGTAACTAGGACAAACTCAGAACTCTGTCACTTAGTACTTCCAATTCACTCACTTGCATGCTTCCACCACTACTATTTCTCTTGTAACTGCCAGCTTAGAAACTCTGCTCACTTAGATAGCTGAGGGACTGCCACTGACAAGCAGTAAACACATATCACGTGACCCCTACCCACTGTTGCTCTGGGACATCACTGCACACGCGGGAGCTGACAGACACACAGGAAACACATTTCATGTGACGTCACCACTCCTGTGCCAGCTTGCTCAACTGCTGTGTGTGCATATCATGTTTACAGAGAAGTTGCCTGGCAACAGGCTGCATAACCTCCATTTCCACTGCTGCATGGAATTGACAACACAGAAACCACAGCTTCCTCGGTTGGTTAGTAACCTAGCAACCGACCGTTCATCACAAGTTCGTCTTTGCGGTAATCTGTTTAAAACTCATTGCCTAGCAATGGGTGTACATGTAACAATATTTTAACAGACAAGCTTAGGAACTCTGCTCACTTAGATAGCTGAGGGACTGCCACTGACAAGCAGTAAACACATATCACGTGACCCCTACCCACTGTTGCTCTGGGACATCACTGCACACGCGGGAGCTGACAGACACACAGGAAACACATTTCATGTGACGTCACCACTCCTGTGCCAGCTTGCTCAACTGCTGTGTGTGCATATCATGTTTACAGAGAAGTTGCCTGGCAACAGGCTGCATAACCACCGTTTCCACTGCTGCATGGAACAGACAACACAGAAACCACAGCTTCCTCGGTTGGTTAGTAACCTAGCAACCGACCGTTCATCACAAGTTTGTCTTGTAACCAGTTTACAACTCATTGCCTAACAATGGGTGTACATGTAACAATATTTTAACAGACAAGCTTATGGAGGATTAAACATCTAATGTTGCTATACAAAATATGCTTTACAATGAAATACTGACACCTCATCTCATACTGATATCTCACATCAGAGTTTGGGTATTCATGGCCATTTTCTTAGTATTACACTGTATCGGAGCAGCAAAATTTACCATACATCAGACAAACTTGCTGTCTCCTTCATATACAATTTTCATGAAACTAACTGCTAAAGATTAAAATCTTTAGTTAATAACAAATTCAAACCCCTTACATCACAATTTTGTTTCACCAGTTAGTTTCCATTTCATTCACTCAAAATGATGTAGGATAGCTTACATTGGTTTTCTCCCAACAATCCTGCTAAAGAAGTCAAGTAAATGAGCAGGAATTATATGGAGGGTGAGTGTGCACAGTGAGTTGAGCACCCAGTTCGACTGACATTTACCATCTGGATACCAGACGACATCAGCCAGAGGATGTTTCCGCATGTACACAAAACACAGCTCTACAAACTCTTTCCATGTAATGGGTTTCTGCTGCCCTGAACAACAGTTGTATACTGCAATACCGTCTGGCCTGTCAAAGAAACAATATAGCATTTTAATTTCTCCTAACACTGAAAGCATAATCTATAATTAAAAATTTGTAAACTAAACTCTCTAACATCAGAGACCAGAAGTTCAACAGTGCTAAAAATTAAACTATGCCAGAGAACTGTAGTGATATATTTTGGCACATAATTTAATTAAATTTGACTCAATTCATTCAGTTTTTATTTAGGTGGGTCCCTTGTCACCATGGCATGGCACATCCTCAGGTTGTGGATGGTGGAGATGCCCTCCAAGTATGGAGGGAAGCCACGAATATATTGAGTAAGCAGTCGCGGACAGCAGACAAGGGGTGGTCCTCCAGCTTGGGGGTTGAGTGTGGGGCTAACAACTCCTCACAGTACAAAATAAGCTGTTTATGAAAATGTTCAAGAAGCCTTGGACCTGGACAGATTCTGTGGATAAAAAACCTAAGTGAAAGAAAATGGATAAGTACTGATTGTTCAAAGAAATCATGCAAGATGGCGCTGAATCATAAGTCATTCTTTCTATACTAGGTTTTCCCAATTCTTGGATAAAACCTTCAATCACCTTCATTCACTCCATTCTATCGTAACCAGTGATTTTTCAGTGACTTACTCATACCTTCTTCTCAGTTGATTCATAATCTTGCAATATAAATATGGGTGGTAGCATTCTTAAACCCTGGAAAATGTTACATCACAAAAGTTCAGATCCTGTTTCTAGAACCCACAGAAGAGTTCCTCTGGTCCAGTGATCAATCAAGTGTTCAAATACAGAAAATTCCTAAAAATGCACCACACAGCCAAATATTTCTGGCTACATTTAACATTTTTCATGCAACAAATTTTATATATATATTGAGGAAAATCATCACTAGCAACAAACTTTGCCATTATAAATTACAGTATTGGGGGGGGAATAAGGTAAAAAAGAATATTATTTACCGAGACGGGTCTCAGACATGGTAGGTGGAGGGAGCTAGCTCATCAGGTCCAATTCAGGCCTTTGATATTGTTGGTGAACCTCTGGTTTCTGCAACCACACAGTTTGATATTTCCCAAACTTATTCTTCCCTTATCCTCATCATGACTTATTTTTGCCTATTACTCTTATGTTGTTAAGTTTGAAACTTTCCCAAGAAATGGACCATTCAGTATGTATAAATGCTATGCTGTGTGAACAAGGCAGGTTTACTGTCCTCTCACAAGTACCTGACTGTGGCTGTTTTCCAAGCTGCACAAATCATGAGATTGATAACAATATCAACAGGCACCAAGTCAGCTATTTTATTCTCATGACACAACATTGTGCGGAAGAATCCCTTTCCCGCAGCTGCTATTATACCAGTTGGTCCATTCCAATTGTCAACCCAGCCTGCCACAGGTTCTCGACATGAAGATAACACTGAAAAATGAAAAACACAATTAGTGTAACTTACTTTCAGGATATTTAACAACCATGTTTCAACCGCAGAGGGCATATACTAAATACCAACACATGAGATTGGTAGATAATCATGAATGATGCATAGATAAGATTCTGAAGGAAGTAAATGTGACCTACTCCAAGGTATTACCTAAAAGAATGTAGAAAACAACAGAATATCCCAATAAGGAGTGCTGGTAATTGGTCAAGATTCTAACCAAGTATCTCCTGAATATAAATCTTAGATGTTAACCTGCTCAGTACCTGCATGAGTCTTGACCTACACAGTAATAACATGCTTATGATAAACCTAAACATCTATGATTGAAATACCGGACTATCTTCTGTGATTGAATTCTTTAGTCTCTTGAAGCAAATGCCTGGACAGTATATTCCTTTCTGGTTCAATTAGACTGACCTTATGTGATCCAAATTCACTTCATACTAATATTTTTCTCCATTTCAAACATAAAATTAGTCACAAGAAATCCTAAGGAACAGAAAACTATGTTAAAGTATAAAATTATAAAATTTTTGGCATTGAAGATTAGATTCTGTGGCTGGTTTTACTGGGAAACTTTGCTCACAATAATAATCTTCACTACACACAGTTCTCACAGTGGTCATGACATATTTGTATATGGAAGTTTAGTAGAGGATATTCAGAACAGATGAAAATTAATGTTCATTTCAGTTGGGCATCAAGTCAATGTTTTTAGCTCAAATACACAACATATCCACGTGTAGAGACTCAACATGAAAAAATTTACAGATTCTAAATGAAAAGTGAAATAAATAGAAAGAGAACATTGTGATAAAATACATAATTTATGAAAGTATACTGTAACTCAAGAGGCCTGTCAGAAGGATAAAATAAATGTAAAAGTGAAATACTCCAAGTGCTCTTCTGTCCATTTGAACAATTTGATACATCCCATATAATCCAATAAATTCCAGATTTCATGCAATATATTTTAGATAAAGAAATATTTTGATGCCTTTAATTTAATCAGCAATAGCGCTGTATCTGTGTGTAATTAACAGAGAGTGTGTGACCAAGCTGTTTATAAATTCAATAATCCGAACTAGAACCTGTCATTTCGTCATGCGTACCACCCTACACGTGACAATATACCTAAGACTGTAATGACAGACAATGTCCAGTATAAAATTTTTACAATGAACAGATCATTACACATTAATCTTTGAATGACCAACCAGCTGTTCAAGACTCCAACAACTGAGTTTCAGAGGTGTATACAGCTTGGCAGGAATGACAGAACAGAGCCTATTCTGAAGGGTATTAACTTCCCATACCTATGAGAATTTTATACTCTTCACAGTTTCAGATCAGATACTTTTCAACCAGGTCTCAAAAAAAAAGTAAAAAATGACAAGAAAGATAAACTTCATACTTTGTTATATGTGACTCACCTATAGATGGTCTAACAATTGCAACAGGCAAGTTTCCACTTTCTCTCAGCAGCATACTTTCTGCAAGAGCTTTTGTAAATGTATATGTATTGGGACGGGTGCCAATCAACCTATAAAAAAGCAATAATGATAAACTGCTCCTCTAAGAAATTTAGAGATTTATTCTATACCAACGCAAACACATACCACTTAACTTTTATGAGTGAAGGTACACATTTTTTTTACAGCAGATACACAAATAAAAACAAAAACTGTCTCCACATCACTGTGCTTGAAAAACACAATGTGACAGTGAGTTACACAACTATATAGTTTTCACAAACACCAAACAAAATGTCGATTCTACCAACAAAGTGCATTTGTGTTGCTAAATTTGATAACTTTCAGGCAAAATGTGAAATAATAACAAAGTTGATTTATTTACTGATTAAATTATATTTACAGCTTTTGCAGAATTATGACAGTGTGAAATACAAAGATTCTTCACTTCTGAGTGTGTATTCTGTACTGTTGCTGGCAATCGGCAATAGCATGACACTTCTGGTTCAATGGCAAAATTTAAGATTTCCTCAGTCATATAAATTTACTACATTTGGATCATTCAATAAATTATTTTAGGACTGATTGTGGAATAGATTCTTCAGTTCTACATAGCCTATCACAATCAATGCAAAAATACAAACCTGTATTCTGTGAAGCATAAATCTGTGATATATGCATAGATTTCCTCAGTCATAAATTTACTACATTTGGATCATTCAATAAATTATTTTAGGACTGATTGTGGAATAGATTCTTCAGTTCTACATAGCCTATCACAATCAATGCAAAAATGCAAACCTGTATTCTGTGAAGCATAAATCTGTGATATATGCATAGATTTCCTCAGTCATAAATTTACTACATTTGGATCATTCAATAAATTATTTTAGAACTGATTGTGGAATAGATTCTTCAGGTCTACATAGCCTATCACAATCAATGCAAAAATGCAAACCTGTATTCTGTGAAGCATAAATCTGTGATATATGCATAGATTTCCTCAGTCATAAATTTACTACATTTGGATCATTCAATAAATTATTTTAGGACTGATTGTGGAATAGATTCTTCAGTTCTACACAGCCTATCACAATCAATGTAAAAATGCAAACCTGTATTCTGTGAAGCATAAATCTGTGACATATGCACTTGAATGGATTCACCTAGCTCAAGACAGGGACCAGTCACCAGCTCCTGCAGACATGTTATAATGAACCCTCAACTTCATAAAGGTAAAGGTAAATTTGTCCCTGCGCTTAATCATTAAGCACCATGTCATGAAGACATATGGGGAGTGGAAGTATAGCTCCACTATTCTTGACCTCGACACTAGATAGACAAGAGTGTTCAGCTTCACACTCTGGCCACTTTACTCCTTGGGAAAGAGCTCCCAGATACCCATGAGACAGGAGAATGGATGGACTCAGTGCCAGTCTCGATGCTGTGGAACAGAGAAAAATTTCTTGCCCCTGCTGGGAAACAAACCCCAGCTGTCCAGCCTGTAGCCTGTCACTATACTGACTGAGCTATCCTGGCTCCGTTCAGGTTCCACAAAATATTAGGAATTTCTTTAGTGGCAGATGAACTACTGGTTTCACCAACAGGACTCTGCACCTTTGAGTCGGTTTGTTGGCCTGTCAGTCTGTCAGGTTTGTTGGTCAGTTAGCTATTTGCTCTTCAAAAACAGATAGTTCTGCTTTGGCTATAACCAACTGCTGACAGCCTATCAGTGAAAAATTAACTACAGTTTTAACTGACTTCTGGAAATTCTTTAGTAACATACTAAATATTAAACGCTGCTCGCTGTGTTTTCTTAACCTCTGCACACAAAAAATACCAGTTATACATGTACAATACCTCTAAATTGGCACACTGAGGGTTTCCCTTCAATGTGTTAAATAACCTTGCTATGTTTCCTGCAACTGGCAACCCGACAGTGCAGATAGATGACTACTTTAAAGTGTACGTGAATGTCTTACTTTGGTGTGAGTGCTTGAATGAGATCATCGTCCATCCACTCCACACACTGGATGATTTTCTCTGGATCATAAGGAGGTGGATAAATCACTTCATTCACTTCTTCACGATCACAGTTGCAGTATGCAGTGGAAACATGTATCAGAGCCTAAGCCCAACAATATGCACAGTACAATTAGTGAACATAACACTTACCTGTTTGCAAACAAATACAGTGCTTGCTCATGTAAATATACTAATATAGTGCAAAAAAAATACTTCTGAGCACAGGATCCACATGGCTTTGAAGAATACTGATGAAAACTGACACAAAAATAAGTACATACAGTTAAAAAGCAAATTAAAAAGAACAGTGTGCCACTCACACAATTATTATCCCTTGTACCAGAACATAGAATATTACAGGGTGGGGCCCAGAAGCTTCCTTTTTTTGAAGGCGAATAAAAGAAAAAATATTGCTGATAGACAAAATTTATGTTTAGCTAATGAAAGAACATACTTTAAAGTTTTAAATCATGTAGTTTGAAACAAAATATCTTGAAGGTGGTGGCCACCGTTCTCT